TTTAAAGGAACTAAATTCAATAAGACTATAAAGAGTAACAAAAGTTATATTTTAGCTACTTCTATTAAACGTTGACTCTTCAAAAGTGCATTACTTTGCTAGATAACTTTGTATATTTCCGAACTCCAAAGCTAAGTTTCTTTGCTAATGTATGATCTACCTCTAGACATTGTTAAAAACTCATTGTAATCATTTCAGTGGAACTACACATTTTATCCCACATCATATTTGGCTCCACTTATGAATTCTAATTTGTCTCTTTCAGCAACCTATCTTGAAATATTAATTATTTCTAAATCAATCCTCCCAAATTCTATAGTACATCCATCTTAACATTCATATTTCTCTTTTGCTCAACTTTTTTATCAATAACTTTTTTGCTGCCTTACATTCATACAACATATTTGTTTAAGTTATAATTTAATAAAATTTCCAAGTAAGTCTTCATTATATTCTCTTATCATATAACTCTTTAGGCACTTACTAAAATAAAAGAAGCATGAAAAAATAAACTCTGTATTTCTCTACTGCTTAATTCCTACACTAAATAAACACTAATTAAATTTTACCAAGCCAACCAAAAACAAGAGGATTCAAAAGAGTATTCTTGAAAGCACCAAAAAAAAAAAAATTTTAATGCAATTTGTTTTCTTAGCTATTTAGCTTCAAACTCTCGTCCTACTTCACTCGATTACATACTTCTGCTTAGGGGTACCAACGAAGGACCTAAACACTAAAGTATGACTTGAATTCAAATTGGACACATATGAGTTTAGGCAACCGCGATAGTTTTGGGATTGTGTTTTGTCTACTTGCAAGCAAACTAGAAAATATCTAGTCACGTTCTGGTTGAAATGGATGCCCATTGAAAGCCCACTATAAATTATTTTGAGTAAAACCCAACCCGTTGACACATATTGGTCTCCATGTATTTTAAGCACTTTTTGTTCGAGCTAATTTGAGTGAATCGTCTACGATTTGTTTGTCAAACAGACAAGTTTTTCGTCACCCATGTTTTGTTAAATAAACTTTGGCTTCATTTTCATGCCTATTCAATAAACATGTTAGGTTCAAGTTAACAATGATTTAGTGGGGTCATTTTAAGCAGTTCACGCTGGATTTGAATACAAACTAAACCTATTGATACGTATTGACACTAATCTCTTCTCTATCCTTATTCCAACGCAATCACGACAACCCAGCACCCTTTTCACCCTTCAATACTCTCTTCTATATAGTCTTCCTTATGGAACCATAAACACCTACAACATGCTAACAAACTAGAAAAACACATCATACCAAAAAAATAAGGAAAAACAAAGAAAATTATGAATAATAATGTCCAGGAGATAAAATATCTTAGGCATATTAATTTTCCAAGCAATTAGCAATAGAATTAAAACTCCATCCACTATTTTATTCATTATGCTCTTCTAAAAATTAATTCCTTAAAATTCATTCTTAATAATTTCTTAAAATGGCACTTTCTTCTTTCTTGATGATAGTCTCTTTAACTAAAATTATAAATTTTTTGCTTTTAATGAACCTACAGTGATAAAAAATTTTAGCCATAAAATTATTACCTTAGCTATTTCATTTCTCTCTTTCTTTCCTTTGTTAGTACCAAGCTTATTATATAGGACACTAAAAACAATAACTTTTGCTTTGCTCACTACCCAGTCTACCCTCGTTATTAGACTTATAATTCTTTTATAATCATTACAAACCCCCTTATAATTATTTTCTCTTCAAAAGCATATTTAACTTCATTAATAGCAATTATACCTCCTCGCTTCAACAAGAAGTCTCCTTATTAATGTATAATTAAGTTCAATTAGTGTTCTAAACTCTCTTAAATTTCAACAATAATGTTTTTAATAAAATTAGTCAATTTTATCCCACTTCAAATTTGAATCAGCTAACAAATTTAACATGTTAATCTTAGCAATTTATCATGGAAGGTTAGCAGTTTCTCAACTTTCAAATCCCATCACTTTATCCAAAGAAAATTATTTCATTTGATAATTTTCTTTAAGTTTGAAAATATACATCCATAAATACTAACTCTATGATGTGAGTTCAAATTCTCATATAACCTTACAATCTTTGCAATATATATATATATATATATATTGGTGGCATCACTCTTTTATAGTAATTAAATGTTCTTCTTATTTCTTTTATAGCAATTTTCTAGGCTACTACCAAATCAAGTATAGCTTTTCTCACTGTGTTTCTAGTTTCTATTCCAAACTCGTCATGAATCCTCTAATAGGCCAATCTACTTGACCTCCATATCCATTTAAGTAACCCACAACAAAAATCATTTCTTCCCTAAATTGATATTATAAATGTTATTCCATCTTTCATAGAATTGTTTTTCTAAACTATTTTCTAACCAAATTTGAGGAGCAAAAGAACTAACCAAATTTATAATATCCTCATCAATAGCATTTTAATGAAAATTGTAATATAATTAATTCTATTTACCTCAATAATTTTATATTTCAACACTTTATCCAATAAAATCTCAAACTCATTAATAATCTTAACCTTTCCAGCATACAATAACTTATAAGTTATAACATTCTCCACTTTCCCTGAATTTTTTGCCTTTCATCAAGTTTCTTACAAAAAAATGAAATATATTCTTCTTTTAATTATTATATCCATTAATTCTCACATCTTCTTAATCAAAGTACTCAAATTCCATGTAATAAATTTAATCTTAACAATAGACCTATTGTTTTAAAAAACTATCGAAACCTACGACTTAAAATTTTTTTCATTCTAAGGCGCTAGGAAAAAAAAACTAAAAAATAACATTGCCTTCATCTTTCAAAACCAACGCCTCAATTAATCAATGCATGAGTTTTGAAACTTAAGGGTTCAATTAATCAAAGCATAAGTTTTGAATTTAATGCTTCGAAGCCCACTGAGGCGTGGGTTCACATTGCAAATCTTATGGACATTTTAAAATATTTTTATTTAAAACCTCAATTTTTAAAAATTTTCATTAAAAAAAAAACTAATTTTACTTGTTGTAGTAGATTCCTATATTCAAACTCAGCTTTTCATTCAAATCTTTAAAAAATTGAAGGCTAAAACCGATACAGAACTCGATCATGCTTCTCATCCTCATAGCCCCTCTTCATCTATTGATCATCTCCTTTGCAATCTCTCATCGCTCACTCTCTCCACTCTTTCAACCTCTTTCCCAATTTCCCTCTTCCCCTCTAATCTCTCTCACGCAAAAGAAACCCCTAATCTCGCACTCCAAGCATGCCTTTCTCATTCATATAGTCCAAATTTGAGTAAGGAATAATAAACCAAGGTAAATTAATTCACTCATTTCTTCTTCTTCTTCTTTTAGAAAGTTTATTTTGTTTAGTGACTTGTTTCTCCATAAAGTTTGCCTTACCATCTGACAGCCGATTGCCACCCACTGTCGGCCATCACCAATTGCGGGCCACCACTAGTCCCACCGACAGCCGCTATTCGTCGCCTCCACCAATCACCACAATCAATTTACTTTACATTTAATTCATTTACTTCAAGCCAAATAAAAATAAAATAATATCATGTGTTTCTTCTTTAAGAAACCCCTCTTCCCCTCTAATCTCTCTCACGCAAAAGCAACCCCTGATCTCGCACTCCAAGCATGCCTTACTCATTCGTATAGTCCAAATTTGAGTAAGGAATAATAAACCAAGGTAAATTAATTCACTCATTTCTTCTTTTTTTTTAGAAAGTTTATTTTGTTTAGTGACTTGTTTCTCCATAAAGTTTGCCTTACCGTCTGACAGCCGATTGCCACCCACTGTCGGCCATCACCAATTGCGGGCCACCACTAGTCCCGCCGACAGCAGCTAGTCGTCGCCGCCACCAATCACCACAATCAATTTACTTTACATTTAATTCATTTACTTCAAGCCAAATAAAAATAAAATAATCTCATGCGTTTCTTTTAAACTCATCGAAACAACTTTAAACATTTCAAATATACTACATTCTTTTTACATTGCATTCCTTTTACTCTACATTTCTTTTTCAGTAAACCTGATAGCCCATAATGTGTCTTTTATGAACAAAGGTTATATTTTTTATGAACTCTGTCTATTTTCTATTTTTTTCATAATTTTATGACTTTTTGGAGTTTTTAATTTGAAACACAATCGGTTCGATTCAAAACCTATTTTTTTATTCAATTGACGAGTAGCTTCAATTCCTAATATATTTTTTAAATCTTAATAAAACCTAGCCAATTATTGTTTTCTTTTTTATCATGATTGGGATATGTTGTGATGTGCGCTTGTCAATAGCATCCTAGTCAATATCATCTACTTTTATCAAAATCATTTTAATTTGTAGTGTATCACTTAAAGAGTGATATCCTAGCAATTACTTATCAACTTCTCAAAACAATCAAGTTAGGTAATGGTTCGTAGCACCTATCATAATTCAAATTTTGATTAACTCAATTAGTTTTGGAAAGTTTTGCAAATCAACTGTAGACCTAACTTCAACCCTCAACCCTTCTCATATAAGCATAAATGATAACGACAATGGTAGTTTTTCAAGCCGGCTAAATGACAATGCAAATCTTTTCTTTTTCCTATGAGGAAAAGAATATTGTTTTAAAGTAAATTGATAGAAAGAAAACGTAAATCCCTATGAAAGAGCAAAGCAAATCCTTCGTAATAAAGCCATCCTTTTATTCCTTATCATCCACAAAAATAATGCTCCCATCAAAGTAAATAGATAATAAATGAAATTATAAGAAGCAGAAACATCACCAACCATCTAATAAGTCTGGAGCACAGATCCCACAAAGTTCAACAATTTTACGTTTGACATAGTCAATATTCGTAATTAGAAAAAGGTATAGGCAATACCTCGGTTAGACCATGTTAATAACCAATAGAGAGGATGAATCAAAACTTCAAAAACACAAAATCAATAACAAATTATGGAGAATTTATCATGGAATGGTGACGCACCAGGATGAGATCGAACAAAGTCGCTTGATCCACCTTAACGAAGTCGGAGTCCCAGCTTCTGAGCTCCTCCTCAATGGTTTTGTCGCCGCCGGCAGATGCTTCCGCAGGGTCGCACTCGACATGCTTCTTGCAGTACTCTATCACCTTGGCGAGGATCTTGCTGTTAACGTTTGGGAGCGGGATCCCGCTTTCCGCGCAGTCGTCCTCGATCATATGCCGGATCGTCTGCGACAACATCGCCACTGCCCCATCCACGACGAATTCCTCGCCATCAGAGCTCTTCAGAGTAATCTGCTTACCTTCATCTGAAGCCATTGGTGAAAAGAACAGATCCGATCGATTTCAAGCCCTAGAAAGTCTTCGATGGTATGGGGAGGGGAAGGGGGGCAATGCTGACGGGATTGGAGTTTGGGGCTTGGTTTTAACCTTGGAGAGGTCCGCCGGAGCTTACGTGCCGCATAAAGCATATGTTTGCCCGTTTTGCTTAAATAAAGGAATCATGTTTTAAAATAGAATTTAGCTTAAAAGAATTATATAATTTTAAATATTTAGAATTATATTACTTTTTTTAAGTATGTTAACATCTTTTTTATTTAAATGCATGGATGTCAGTATTTAATACGATCTGAAAATTCGACTCGAATCGGATCCAAAAATTTCATGTTAGGGTCAACACATTTATCAAACGGGACGGGTTCGAGTTCAAAAAACTGGCATGTTTTAAAAATCGGGTCGAATTCGAATTGACTTGGAAACTAGAGAGTGACTCGGTTTGCGAGACCCGATTTGGATTAACTGGATTTGCGTAAAATCCAACCCTCTTGCTCTACGACTCACCTTCCGCAATCCTGCTGAAACCACAAGTCCGCACTCGACGTCCCACAGCCCACCGTCCCGTGGCCCGCAGTCTAGCCTTCCCGCCTCTCTCGTGTCTTGTGGCCCCACGTCTTGCTGTCCTGCAACCTCGTCATCCCGCCGTTCCGCTTCGACGACGTTCCTTCAGATCCTACGATTTTGATGCCATCCCGCACTCCCTGCCGCTCCGGCACTCCTCCATCCAGGGTGCCGCTACCAGCCTCCTAAAGAACCTAGCCCCTGTTCCGGAGCTCCGAAAGAAGCTAATCGACGAAAACTACGTGATTTGGCCCACCGACAGTGGAGCAAAATTGTAAAAGCCGACATTTATTTTGGGCAGATCGTGTCGGGTTGACCCGTATTAGAGTACACAGAGATAACATAATCATATCTCTATTTATATTTGTACTTGCTAATTAGGTGTAGGCTTTTGATTGGCTCTCTTGTTATTGAGTTGTACATACCTAGGTCTATATAATAGGATCGTACATTGCTGTGTAAGATAGATCGGATATTATTCTTCATTCTACTTTGCTTTTACATTCTTGTTCTTGTCTTTCTCTGCCCTTCGGTTTCTTCATAGTATCAGGAATATGTTTCTGATCCTTCTGATGGCTCACTCTGCAACCTCTCAGGTCAAAGGACAACGTGATTTACAGGTCTCTGAACATCCAAATCCGTTTCATCCCTACTCTGAAATTCCTTTTTTCAAATCTCAAAAACGTCGTCACGATCCAACTCACTCCAGAAAACTATTATGTATGGAAATTGCAAATTCTAAGGATTCTTCGTGTAAATGGCCTCCAAAGCTTTCTTGATCCTAACTGCTCCCCTCCCGCCCAATCTCTGACGAATCAAGATGGTTCGTCTTCCCCTAATCCTCTCTTCTCTCAATGGCTTCTTACATATCAAAATATTTCAAATTTGATATGTTCGACGATCTCTCCATCGGTTTTGCCCTATGTCATTTCTCTTGAAACCACTGCTGCCATTTAGACGACCTTACAAACAATATTTCAATCTACAAATAGGTCTAAAGTCATTCAACTCAAGAATGAACTCCATAATATTTCCCTCAAAAACTCCACCATGACTCACTATCTCACTAAAATCAAGTATTTTGTAGATCAAATAGCCGTTGTCGGTTCTATTGTTGACATTGAAGACATAATCCTTTACATTCTCAATGGTATTCCTCCCCAATAGCAATCCTTCAAAACTGCCATTAGAATCATGCTCACACCCATTAGTCTTGATCAAATCCATCCACTTCTTCTAAGTGAAGAAGTTAATCTTGCAACGAATGCAGCTCGATCCAATGGTAATTCCGACCCCAGTACAGCGTTATTTACCTACATAGGAAGAGGATGTAGAAAACGCAGTAGAAACACGTTCAACACTATTGTTTCCTCTCAGTCTAAAGCAATGCCAACCTCGTTTGCCAAATATGTTTCAAGAAGGGCCATTCGGCTCAATCGTGTTGGCATCGCCTCAATGTTCAATACACTCCATTGTCAAGAACTACTAACAGAGCGCTCAGAGCAAATTCCGATAACACAGAAGAACACTGCTTCTTGGACTCAGGGGCCTCTACGCACCTCACAAACTCCCTTGACAACCTGTCAATTTCCACACCTTATCAAGGATCTGATAATGTCACGATTGGTGACGACAGATCGGCCAACATAGCTCACACAGAGGTGGGAATCCTCCCGACCCCGTCTCGTAAGATGAATCTATCTCAAATTTTACATTCTCCCTCTATTCATTACAATTTATTGTCCATATCTCAACTAACCATGGATAACAATATATCCATTATCTTTGATCCATCTAGGTTTACCTTGAAGGATATGAAGACGCAAAAAGTCATTCTTCACGAACTGTGTAATGGCGGCCTATATACCATTCTGATTGGATCATCCGCTCACCAAAATCGAGCATTAGTGGTCTCTACCTCTTCAACCAATTATTGGCATCATCGGCTCAGTCATCCGCACAAAAGAATTTTTGATCTTATATTTAGTTGTAATCCTAGTCTCAATTTAAGAAAACATTCTTTTACTTGTCATTCTTGTGAAGCATCTAAATGTCACAAACTTATGTTTAAACATTCTAAACACCGTCAGCATTCTCATCTTACACTCATTCACTCTGATGTTTGGGGACTTGCTCCCACGGTATCCTACCAAGGATACAAAAACTATGTCATTTTCGTTGATGATTGTTCTAGATTTACATGGTTATTTCTGTTACGTCAAAAATCAGTTGTTCTTGATATCTTTATTGATTTTAAAAATCAAATGGCAATATATACTTCACATTAAATAAAAACATTAAGAATCGATGGAGGTACGGAATATGTTAACCATACTTTTACGAATTATCTTTGATCATCATACATCAAATATCTTATCCTTACACCCCTGAACAAAAAGGCTTGGCTGAGAAAAAAACACATACACATCATTGAAACTACGCGCACGCTCCTTCTCACAGCTTCGGTTCCCTACAATTATTGGCCAGATGTCGTATTAACTTTAGTGTATCTTATCAATAGAATGCCCTCACTTACAACAAACAATTTATCCCCATTCAAAATCTTTCACAACAAAAAAACATGAGTACAGTCACCTCAAGATCTTTGGTTGTGAATGCTTTCCGCTAACCCCAACACATTCTCGTCACAAACTTCAGCCAAAAGCCACATTACGTGTTTTTCTTGGTTATTTTGACACATATAAAGGCTATAAATGCCTTGATCCTCGTAATAATAAGATCACCATATCCATGCACACCACATTCAATGAGAATGTGTTTCCATTCTTTATTATAGATTCTTCCCACATCATTGATCATACTAATATTTCTCCCATACTTCTAACCCCATTCTATGTTTCCCATTCCACTACCTTAGCTAATCAACACCAACCGTGCAACCCATACAATCTACCTCTCATTCCTCCCAAACGAACTCTGCTCCTTCTCCTGGAAATCAGTTCACTCAACTGAATCATTCGGATTTTCCTCTGCCATCCAAGTCACCTATCCTACCATTCCACCACATGACTACTAGAAGTATGACAGGAACTCTCAAACTGACTAACATATTAAATATGCTGCACAACCATATATCCAACTCTTCTCAGTCGGATCCAACAACGTACCATGACGTCGTTAAGAAATTTGAGTGGCATTAAGCTATGGTTACATAATTCATTGCTCTTCAAAAGCAAGGAACTTGGAGTCTTGTTCAACCGCCAACAAACGCCTCCGTTCTAGGATGCAAGTGGACATACAAAACAAAATTTCAAGCAGATTGTTTTGTGGCAAAATACAAGGCAAGGCTGGTCGTTCATGGTAACAACAAGAGCACATATTGGATTATACATAAACCTTCAGTCCGATAGCATAATTACCAATAATACTAATACTTCTGGCAGTTGCTCTTTACAACAATTGGGTTGTTCAACAATTAGATGTGGCAACACACATTCCATCATGAAAATCTATCTAAGACGTCATATATGGCTCAACTAAAAGGGTTCGAAGACAATAGCATCCTGAACGTGTATGTCGTCTTCACAAAGCTATTTATGATTTAAAACAGGCGCCTAGACAGTGGTATAACACATTCACTGCAACTTTGGTTACCCTCAGGTTCTCTCACAGTCAATCGGATCCTTCATTACTTGTCTACAACAAGGACAAGGTTCGAATCTACATATTGGTACACGTTGACAACATTCTCATATCCGAAAATTATATGGGCGTTATCATTGATATGCTGGCTAAGCTCAACAAGGAATTTTGAATGAAACATCTAGGAGAAGCAAATGAATTTCTTGGTATAAAGATAACTCGTTCTCCAACCCAATACTTCCTATCTTAGAAGAAGTATGCTTCTCAAATTCTCCAGCAAACCAACCTAACATAGTGCAACCCTTTTGCAAACCCAACCTGCACAAAATTATTGGATGACTTCAATACATAGACATTTCTTCAAGATCCTACTCTCTACCGCCGTCTCACGGGTTCCTTGCAATACTTGACGATAACCCGCCCTGATATAGCATACAGTGTGAATCAATTATCACAACATATGCACCATCCTCTACCTCAGCATATATACATGCTAAAGCATCTTCTACGATACATCAAAGGTACATTAGATTTTGGAATATCAGTTATAAAAACTAATATCGTTCTTCAATCTTTTTCATATGCAGATTGGGCTGGCGATCATATATCCAAAAAATCAAAATCAGGATACTGCTCCTTTCTGGGTGACACGACCATATCTTGGACGGTCAACAAACAGGACATGGTTGCTAGATCTTCCATCGAATATGAATATCAGGCACTTGCGACGCTTACATCCGACATAATTTGGCTACGCAAACTACTCAATGATTTTGGCATTCTTCAAGACTATCCAACAAAAATATACTGTGATAATACCTCATCCAATATTGCTCTGGCAAACAATCATGTCTTTCACGCTCGCACAAAACACATTGAAATCAACCAGAAGTTCATACAGGATCACATTCACCAAAACAACATCTGTATTCTTCCGATAAGCACAATTGGTTAAGTGGCTAATATATTCACAAATTGCTATCTACACCTCGATTTCACAAACTGCATCTCCAACTGACAGTCATTCAAGACCCATCAGTTTGCAGGGGCGTATTAGAGCACACAGATATAACATAATTATATATATGTTTATATTTGTACTTGCTAATGAGGTGTAAGCTTTTGATTGACTCTCTTGTTATTGAGCCGTACATACCTAGGTCTATATAATAGGATGATACATTGTTTGTAAGATACGTTGGATATTATTCTTCATTCTACTTTGCTTTTACATTCTTGTTCTTGCCTTTCTCTGTCCTTCGGTTTCTTCAACCCGAACCCAAAGCGGTTTAGGTTCGTGTTTGAAAAAATGACTCGTTTTCAAAAACGGATCGGGTCGAATAGTGCCGGGTCAATTCCGAGTTAGACCCGAACCCGACTCGACCTTTAGCATTCAAATAAGATTTGAATAAAATTCAATCAAAATTATGATTATATATAATAAAAAATTGATCCACAATTGAATATTCTTCAAATTATAATTGAGCACTAATAATTTTTATTCAAAAAAATTTTGATCAATATTCAAACATAGTTCAAATAAAGTTTGAATAAGACAATATTCAAAAAATTTATAAAATAATAAAATGACAGTATGAATAAAGTTCATTCAATTTTCAAACAAAATTCGCACTAGTTAATCAATAGAGTATAATTTTGTCGAATTTAATCATAAAAATTACAACATAATCAGGTAAATAAAATAGAGGACATATTTTTAATATTAATACTTATATTAAATTAAAATAGCTATAATATTTTCCAACGACATGTGTAAACACATCAAATAAAAACTTTGATACAACTGAATATATTAATAGTAATTATAATACAACTATATTTTTATAAAGTATACAAATTGAATCACATATTTATTATTATAAAGTTCCCATATTTGATGACATATATATTGTTACAACTCAAATTCTTAACTATTGAGATATTGTCCGTTTTTGCTTAATAGACTAAAATCTTTGTCCTGTTTGTGTAACTTCTCAGTAGGTCAGACATCCCAAAATTGCTCTGTGATGAGCACGCTTAACTGCAAAACTTCTTACGAACATTTCAGACATTACACAAAAAAACACATCGATGTTTAAGAGTTAACTTTCTTTTACTTTAAGACATTTCACATATATCGTTACAAATCGAAACTTGTTTTAAGCGTAATCAAACTATATTCATTATTCAGCTTATGATTGAAACTTCTTCAACCATTTTTTTAATATTGTTTATGAAATACAAACATGTTTGATCACCTATCGGGCGTATCTCAATTCTGCACGTGATTTTGCATGAAACAATGCTTCTATAAATTAGACTGTATATTTGAATTATAGCGTCGTATTGATAAGAAAGAAACTTTCGGGTATATTTCTCGAAGAAATTAAACAATGAGCATATTTCTTAAATTTCAGGCAAGCATTTAAAAAAAAATCAGATTTTTTGTTTTTTAGGGAAATAAAGAAAAGTCTTATATTTATTCATTTTAATTAAAAGCTTTAACAATAATGATGGGAGAATGTATGCTTAAATTTCTTGTTTAAGACTTAATGCTAGGCTAGGCACCACTTACATAAGAATATATATATGATTGGACTATAATATTCTAGTTTTGATCAGACAAAAAAAAATTGTTTAATTAAGCATAAATTTTGTCATAAATTTGAGATTTTGAAGCACTAAAAAATGAAGTGATGATTTTTAAAAATTATGATAATGATTAAAAAAATTTGAATTTTGTAAAGTTATATACAAAAAATAATTATTTTATTGTATTTATTTTTTCTACAAAGTAATTACCAGCGGCTTAAAAGCAGCGGTTATGCCGCCGGTAATACCGTTAGTAATTACGATGGTATTACCTGCGGTTCTCCTGCAATCTACGTGCCAGTGAGTTACGTCGACGATAACCGCCAGTAAAAAAGCCGTCGGTTTCAGTTTCCTACGCGATTTTTTCTAGCGGGAGTTGAACAGCCGAAAATTTTAATTACCGTCAGTATTGGACAATTTTCCTGTAGTGAAGGTTTTCGTTTGAGTATATTTAAAATTGAATATATATAGTGTAATTTTAGGAGTAATAGATCTAGTGTGGGATTGTGACTTTGGACGATCAAGTCATTCATAAGAGTAGACATTTTAGATATCTTTGATCTATTGTTTAGAGTGATGGTGAAATATATGAGGATATTATTAATAGAATTCAAGTTGGATAGTTAAAGTGGAGGAATACATCGGACTTATTGTGTAATAGAAAAGACCATCTTAAACTTAATGAAAGAATCTATAATATAGTGGTGAGGCCGGCAATGTTTTATTGTGTAGAATGTTGGTCATTAAAAGACAACCATAATATTAAGTTAAGTGTTGTAGAGATGAGAATGCTCAGGTGGATGAGTGACTTTACTCTTAGAGACAAGATACGAAATGAGCAAATACGTGAAAAGGTTGAAGTAGCTCCAGTGGAAGATAAGATTAGAGAGTCACCTTAGATGGTTCGGTCACATAAAATGGCAACCTTCCGATGACCCGATTAGGAAAGTAGATGTATTAGATTTGGCATATGTTAAGAAAGGTATATGTAGACCTTAAAACACTTTGTTAGAGAATATTAGAAATGACTTTCTTTTATTAGATTTAAATGAGAATTTGACTCTTAACATGACACAATGGAGAAAAAAGATTCATATAATCCACCCCATGTAGTGGTATAAAGGTTTGATGTTGTTGTTGATGTCGACTGGATCTACAACTTCAAATTCAACTTGTTGCTAAGGGCTATGCATAATAGCCTAAAATTCAACTTGCTCGCTTAGATAGTATGAGAGTGCTTATCGCTCTCACAGCCCAAAAAGTTCTATTGTTGTGCTAACTATATTTTAAATCAGTTGTTTTGAATGGATAATTAAAAGAGGAGGTAGTTATAGAACTACCTCAAAGCTTTGTTGCTACAGGAGAAGAAAACAATGTCTTTATGCTATAAACTGCCCTATCTTGACTCAAGCAAGCCTCAAGAGTTTTGGTACAATCAAACTGATTGCTATTTCCTTAAAAGAGTTTTTTGCATGAGCAAGAGTAAGCCAACTTTATATGTGAAGCATCAGGCCAAGAGTTCTCATTGTTGCTTTGTATGTTGATGATTTAATGTTTACTTCAAAAATTATATAGATTATATAAGAAGTTTAGAGAGAGAAGATGATGAAATATAAAATGGTGATTTGGGATTGTTGCATTATTTTACTTAGCATGAAGATCAATCAAGATGCTGAGTCTTCATCTCTCAAAGATTTGAAAAAGCTCTCAAAAAGTACATGAGTTTAGTTTTTTTTTTTTTTTTTTTTTTAATATTTTATATTTTGGCATAAAATAAATATATTTCTCATCTTTGAAAAAATTTATCAATGGTGGCCAATGAGGCAATGATGATTGTGATGGTGGCCAGTGATGTTGGTTCAGTGATTCGTGGTGGTGGCTACCACTACAAGAAATTCACTGAATACATGTGATATTTCCAGCATTATTCTCGGCATTCAGTTGACCGCCAGATCTACTGGCAGTATTAAACGATGAAACTAGCAATTGAAATGGCACAAGATTCATGTTTTCATGGCAGGACCAGACACATTGCAATCAAATATCATTTCTTTCTACAAGATTCATGGGTAAAAATTAAATTTTTTATACTAAAAAACTGCTTTAAGAAGCAGTAAGAAAGCCGTCACAAACTAAGACTTAAAAACAAGTTGAAGACATTCTGTCAGAAGCTCTCCCACTTGCAAAGAATTCACAACTAAATAAAACACAAATGATCATACTAAAACCACCATCTTTCTTTCTGATAAGAAACTTCATAATAATTTACTTGGTCTGAAGCAACCTTGCACTACATTATACTTCAATTACCAATACCATCTATATACAAAATGCCACTAATCATTCCCTTCCAATACTATCTGAATCTAGCAAGCCAGACCTATATGGAACTGAATGGTTCCAAATCCATTCATCTCCTCCTATGAACTCACCCACAGTAAACCTCTCAGCTTCCTTCTTCCCCATCCTCCTATACCCTTCCCATTTCACTCTCCCATCGGTCCCCGCCCCGCCACCATAATTCTCAAACTCTCCATAATAAACAGTCGCCGGCGCCGCCTCCTCGCCCCATTCAACCCATCCTTCCGGCCTCACGAACCCATCCATATAACATTGCATAAAAACCGTAGTCGAGTAATTCTTCCACGGCCGGCCGAGATAAGTATAAAAGAAATCTGTTTTGTCTATGAGATCCTTACCGGGTAGAATCCAGGAGAGATGGATGGAGAATCCGCTTCGGATGGAAGGGCAATCTTTGCCTTGAGCGGTGATGGTGTTGATCTGATTGGGGAGGGGGCGGCGAGGGAGGATTTCGCAGAATTGGAAAACGGCGGCGGCCCGGCCGAAGATGAAATCCACGGTGCCGTGGATGGTGGAGTGGCGACCCGTTTGTCCAACCCAAAATTTTCGGGTCAAGTTTTCGTGTCGTGTCAAATATTGACACCCCTGGTTTAAATCATAGTCATTTTCTCTCTTTCATAATAAATGAGTTGGCTCATGAGCGAACTCAAACTCGTAGAGTAAAACTCGAGCTGGAACTCGATTAGTTAATCAACCTCAAGTTAGAGATAACTCGAACTCGACTCAACTTGTTTACAACCCTAGGTGTTATGATGGTGGTGGATGTAGAACAGCTCATTTGGAACTGGAGAGAAGCCAAGTGCATGTCATCCTTATGCAAGGGCCATAATAACCTTCTCTATACCGTTCCAATTTTATCAAATGTAACCAAAGAGATTAAAACGCATTTGGCTTCTTCTTTAGCACCTTCATGTCATCATAGATTTTCCTTTATAGGAGAGCAAACTATCAGCATTCATAAGTCACCAAAAATCGCCTTAATCGAACACGAATATTGAGGGATATTTGAATTAGAAACTTTCAAAATTAAATTTGGGACCATCCGAACTCCAAATTCGACAAACTTATAGTTAAACTAAACGTCTAGATGATGCAAACTCAATGACACCAAAATTTGTCTAATTCGAGCCCAAATAAGCCCAAATCAATAGTTTGAAGAATTTTTGAAAGCTTCAAAATATTAATTGAGTGACCAAATGATATCCAAATACAACATACATATTGTTAGAGTATACCGCAAGTTCAACTAGCTTATCTGGTTCTCCTATCAAAGTGCAGCAGTGGGAACACTTTCTCTGTCGTTTGTCCGCCTGTCTTGCCTGCTATAGGCGGCTTGTGCAGGGCTTGCTTCCTGCTCTAATATATACATTGTATTTACTGCACTGTGAGACAATTAATGAGAAACTAATGAATCATTCGAAGCATTCAAAGCTTCTTCTTCTATATTTCTTCTAACCTTGTATTGCAGGTTGTCTACATGGTATCAGAGCGTTGTGCTCAGTAAGTGTTGTATGGCGAATCCTGACTCTGCTTCTTCCGCTATGTCAGCTGCGGCTGCTGGTTCTTCTCTTTCAGCGACAATGTCGGAGTTTACTGTTCCTTCTACCTTGAAGTTCCTCATGAGCAACTTGAAGAACATTGTCTCTACCTCTCTTACAAATGAAAACTATCCTATTTGGCGTCTACAGGTGTTTAAGTTGTTCTCTGCAAATGGCTTTGAAGGTTATTTAACGGGAAACACTCCTCCTCCTGCGGAAACTGACTCCCAGGATCTGCGGCTATGGAAATTAGTTGATCAAAACCTTGTTTCGGCTTTAATGTCTACCATTTCTGCTTCGGTCTTTCCCTACATACTCTCCTTGTCTACAGCGCATGAGATCTGGATGACTCTTGAAAAACGTCTTCAGCCGACAAACCGATCACGTGTGATTCAACTCAAAAATGAATTGCATCACATCCAGATGAAAGATCTTACAATGACACAATTTTTAGCTCAAATCAAAGCAATAGTGGATAATATTGCTGCATCTGGAGGACACATAGATGTTGAAGATGTCATTTTACATACTCTAAATGGGCTTCCTTCCATTTACAATCCTTTTAAATCTGCCATTCGCACGACTCAAGGCGCTATTAGCTTGGATACACTGTACTCTCTCTTATGCAGTGAAGAAATAAACCTACAAAATGAGCAGCAAAAGGATGCGTCTCTTCCTTCCGACCACTCTGCTCTGTGGACAAATCGTTCCAGTACCAATCGTGGTCGATCTGCCCCGCGTGGTCGAAGCAGAGGAGCTTCCTTCAGGACAAATAATTCTGGATCTGGTTTTAACAATGTGTCGGCTGCCCAGAGTTCTCAGGTTCGCACTGCTAGTCCTTCAAGTGTGCGTCCGACGTGTCAGATTTGCGACAAGGCTGGGCATGTTGCACTCAACTGTTGGCATCGCTGCAATATGCAGTATGCGCCAACCATCTCCAATTCCACACCTCGTGCTTATTTGACAAATTAGCACAGCACCGTGAGCTCTCTAGTAACTGAATGGGTTTTAGATTCTGGCGCCTCTTCCCATCTTACATCAAATGCAAATCAACTACAAATGCCAACTCCTTATTTTGGAACAGATTCTGTCTCTGTTGCTAGTGGCGCCACTCTTCCAATCCATCAATCCGGTCAAGGGATTCTCCCTCTTCCGGATACAAATCGTAAGCTACGTCTTAAAAATTTACTTCATGTTCCATTGCTTTCCCATAATCTTCTTTCCATACACAAATTGACATCTGACAATAACTGCTCAATCTTGTTTGATGCTCATGGTTTTCTTATCAAGGATCTCTCGGACAATAGTGTTCTTCTTCGTGGAAAATCACAAGATGGACTCTATCCCCTTCTCTCCACAGTCAACAGCACTCGTTCAGCTCTACACTCCACTGTTCGATCCTCAGCTCCGTGGCATGCTCGTTTGGGGCATCCAAACATTAGTACTCTTAGAACTTTAGCCTCTTTAGTACCGTCTATATGTACTCCTCCTACTACCTTTGTTTGCTCGTCTTGTAATGTGGCGAAAAGTCACAAACTGCCTTTCTCTGTATCTCAAAGTAATGTAATCAAACCCTTCCAATTAATACACTTAGATGTTTGGGGCCCTGCACCGGTTTCTTCGTTGCATAGTTTTCGTTATTATGTTGTTTTTATAGACGAATATACACGATATACTTGGATTTATCTGTTACATTCAAAAGATGAAGTTTTCTTAAAATTTCAACATTTTGTTCACCTCATAAATAATGCCTTTAATACATCTATTCAAACATTCCGCACCGATGGCGGCGGTGAATATTCCAGTAACTTGTTTCAAAATTTTCTTCTACTACATGGAATTACACATCAGTACAGTTGTCCTTACACTCCCGAACAAAATGGGCTTGTTGAACGTAAGCACCGCCATCTTCTTGAAACCACTCGCGCTCTACTTCATGCTTCCAAGCTTCCTTATAAATTTTGGGCTGAAGCACTCATGACATCTAATTATCTCATTAATATTTTACCAACCAAAGCTCGTAATCTTAACATTCCATATCAACTGTTACATCATACCCTTCCCTCTTACACGCATCTACGAACCTTTGGTTGTTTGTGCTTTCCTTGGCTTCAACCTATGTCCAAACACAAACTCTCACCTCGCTCCCAGGAATGTATTTTCCTAAGATACTCTGCTATGCATAAAGGTTATCGTTGTTTAAATCTCCTCACTAATAAAATTCTAGTCTCTCGTCATGTTATTTTTCATGAGCACATTTTTCCATACGCTTCTCAACAATCTCCCGTTCCTACTACACCAATAACTCCACCTCAAAATCCTCTTTTACTGACACCCACTTCAATTTCCTCTCCTCTGACATTCTCTCAGGCCATAAATTCTTCTCTTGAGCAGCAACCAGAACATGTTGACTCACTGTCTTCAATTCAATCTGCTCCAGTATCTACATCACACCTTTCCTCTTCACCCCCGGTTCCATCTGTTGCTCCGGCTACAGCTATTCATTCCTCTGTGCCTCCGGTTCATCACATGTTAACAAGACAGAAAACTGGCCATCAGAAACCGAAAGTCATTTTTGATCTGCTCACGGTTCCTCATTCTCAGTTTACTCCATCTTCTTACAGTCAAGCAGTAAAACATGAGTGCTGGAGAAACGCAATGTCGGATGAATTTCTTGCGCTTCAGCAAAAAGGTACTTGGAGTTTGCAATCCCCACCTTCCAACAAACCTATTTTGGGCTGCAAATGGATCTACAAGTTGAAAACCAAACCGAATGGCCAAATCGATCGATACAAAGCACGGCTAGTTGCCCAAGGCTTTGGTCAAGAACATGGCATCAATTTCACGGAGACGTTTAGTCCGGTTGCCAAGTTACCTACAATTCGGCTTCTACTGTTGCTAGCTCTTCATCATAATTGGCAAACTTTACAATTTGACATTCCAAATGCCTTTCTACATGGAGATCTTCCTGATGAAGTTTATATGAAGCAACCACCTGGTTTTGCAGATACACATTATCCCAATCATGTTTGCCGGCTACACAAGGCTATTTATGGGCTTAAGCAGGCGCCTCGGCAATGGTATACTAAGCTAACCAACTCTCTACTTCAGTTTGGATTTGTATTTAGCAAAGCCAATCCCTCGCTTCTTATTTATCGGAAGGCTTCTACTTGTCTATACCTTCTCATTTATGTAGATGATTTGTTACTCACTGGGAATCACTCATCTACTATAGATCAACTGCTCTTTATGCTTAAGACTAACTTCTCTCTTAAACAACTCGGTAATGTGGACACTTATCTCGGTATTCAAGTCAAACGCTTGCCAGGTGTCTTCTATCTTCACCAAACTAAATATGTTACAGAACTACTTCATTCAGCTGGCTTTACAAACTGCACCGCAGTTCCTACTCCTATTACCTTGAAGCCGTCCGAAACTGCAACAGCTGCTCAACCATTTTCTGATCCACAATTTTATCGTCGTTTAGCTGGTTCGCTAAACTACCTCACCATAACACGTCCCGATATTGCATTCGCTGTAAATTCCATTTGTCAGCATATGCATGCTCCAACCAATGCTGATTTTCTTGCCATCAAGCGTCTGCTTCGGTATATTAAGGGAACACAATCATACGGTCTTCCTTTACAGCCAGGAAATATGCAGCTAACTACATTTGTGGATGCCGACTGGGCGTCAAATGCTGCTGATCGCAAGTCTGTTAACGGATTCTGTTCTTACCTTGGGCCAACACTTATTTCTTGGTGTGTTAAAAAGCAAGTAACCGTAGCCAAGTCTTCGACCGAAGCAGAATATAGAGCGCTTTCTTCCGCCACCTCAGATATCCTTTGGCTTCGTCTGTTACTAGATGAGTTGTCATTATTTCAAACTGCACCTACGACAGTTTTTTGTGACAATACTTCTGCAATTGCTTTAGCTCACAATCCAGTTTTTCATGCTCGTACGAAACATATTGAGATAG